CTGGTGTGGTACAGCCCATGGGGTTGCAAAGAGTCGGACATGACTTAGCAACTGAACAAAACCAAATATATATAGTATTCCATAGGGCTTCCCAGGTGGCTCAGTGGTAAAGAATCTGCCTCCCAATGCAGGAGCCACAGGAAATGTGGGTTCGATCCCTGGGTCAGGAAGAGCCCCTGGGTCTTCGGGAAAGACACAGAGCGGGCCAGAGCGACAGCGTGGTGGCTTCTTGCTCCCTGCGCTCATCAGCTCTGCCCTTTCGCTCACCCCTGCACGTCTCCTCAGGTGATGTGCTGGTCAAGTCTCACTGGCACCTATTTCAGCCACGTGGACTCTGTTATTGCAAGAAGCTCTTGGGAGGCACAGGGCAAAATTTTGAAATGATTTTGTTCTAATTCTGAAGAGTAGAGTAGCTTCTGCTGTTTGTATCTCTCGAAGTTTTTCAATGAGACCTGCCCTCTGGGTAGTCAGCAGGTAGGACCTGGCACATGCGAGGCTGAGCCCAGCAGCTGTTGTAAAGAGCCCGGGGAGACTGTGGCAACGTAGGACCTGAGATCTGCCGCAGGAGTGGGCACACAGGGGTCTGCTGGTGGAGAACACTCCCAACTGCCCCCACCCCACTTTGAGGAATAGCCCACTTTTGTGAAACTGAAGAGCCTGGGAGGCTCGTCTGGAGCACTTCCGAGGCGCACAGGTGGCCCGAGTGGGACCTACGCCTCCCACTCATCCCCGGGCACTGAACTCACTTGTTGCCGTGTTCCTGCTCAGTCCCAACACTGAACATGCTGCTTGCAGCCTGGTGGATCTTCCCTGCACCAGCCCAGCCCGACTGGTGGTCCTGAGGATGCCTAGTGATGCTGGCGGTGAATGTGACCGTGGGTACCCATCAGGGCCAGGACCACCCTTATGCTTCTCGTGCTGCAGACAGCAGAGCTCCCACATGAGTGCAAACCACACTCCACGGGGGAGAGGACAGAGTAGCAGGGTCAGGAGACCGTCAATGTGCCACACAGTGGCTCAGCTGGGCTGCTCTTGGGGAGCCTGAGGTGCCGTCATCTGCCTAAACCCACCTGGTCTTACCAGGGGCCAGACCGTTGAATGGAATGGGGAGACGATGGGGACCCTGATGGACCCTATGGGACCACAGCCTAGACATGTGGGGACCACCATCTTTACCTCCCCTTGGCTTGTGTGGATTGAGAATTGCCCTTCCTCCAGGAATGCAGCACTGCTTCCTGCTGACCATCCTGGCAAGAAAGGGATGCAGCTTCAGGGGCTTCAATCCATCTGTCCCACCTTAACAGTTCTTGTTCCAGATGGTTCTTTACAATTGTATACGCAGAGGAGAGGAGACACCCACAGACCCAGCAGACTCTCACACGGTGGCCGTACCCAGAGACCCAGAGACTTCAGCCTGCAGCCATCTCATCAGCTGCCCACTACTAGACCCAGGAACCCCCTCCCCTCCCTGGCAGCTGCCAGCAGCCCCGTGGAATGTGCAAATCCTTCCTTTGCTGGAGGGCCTGCAGGACATGTGCCTCCTTCAAAGCTGCCTGAGCCAGCTTTGATTCTCTGCTCCTGCTCCACTCAGAGGCCATGGCGCCACACAACCCCGTGGCCCCCAAACTTGGCCACTGTGGGAGAACTGGTTGCTGCTCTTACCCTGGGGCCAGAAGAGGGAGAGCTAGTTTGCCAGCAGAGAAGATAAAATGAGATCTGAGGCCAAAAGGTAGTTTCTCCAAGGTTCGAGATGTCGCTCACTAGCCATTTCTGGCTCTTCTCCAAGGTCTGGCCACCACGCCCCATCCCTGCCCTCAGGTCCCACGAGGTGGCCTTAGTCAACCCCCCGCTGTCTAGGCCAAGCAGGACCAGAGCCCTGTCGAGAGCACAGCTGCTGTCAGGGTTCCTCCAGAGCCCTGTCGAGAGCACAGCTGCTGTCAGGGTTCCTCCAGAGCCCTGTCGAGAGCACAGCTGCTGTCAGGGTTCCTCCAGAGCCCTGTCGAGAGCACAGCTGCTGTCAGGGTTCCTCCAGAGCCCTGTCGAGAGCACAGCTGCTGTCAGGGTTCCTCCAGAGCCCTGTCGAGAGCACAGCTGCTGTCAGGGTTCCTCCAGAGCCCTGTCGAGAGCACAGCTGCTGTCAGGGTTCCTCAGATGGGGGCGAGCACCTCTCACATAAACCCACAAACCCACCAGCCACTCAAAACTGACCTGGTCTCACTCGGGACAGTGCAGCTCTCAAGCCCGGCTGCCTGGGTCTGAACTGGACCCATGACCACCTGTGTGACCTTGGAAGTGATGGCTGCAGTGAAGAGTTCACTGCAGGCCTGAGAAGCTGCTGGCAGGCTGGCCCTCGGCTGGCACCTGGGACCTGGACTGGGGAGGGTTCCCGCCACCATCAAGTAGTAGGAGTGGCTCTCTGCACCCAAACCCTACCAACAGTTTGCACCTGACACCTGCTTCCTATGGGAGTCTGGAATTTGGGTCTGTGCCAGGCAAACTGCCTGTGTGACTGGCCCTCCACAGAAACCCGGGACACTGTCTCCGAGGCACGTCCACATGACCGTGTGACCCTTGGCGGGGGGGGAGGGCAGGGCTGGAAGCTGCATCTGGTCTCCCCCTTTGCCAGGTACCTATTCCTTTGCTGACCTTGCCTTGTCCTCTTTCTATGTGATGAGCCTCAAGTATGAGAACAGTCATGCATTGGGTCCTGAGACCTCCCAGCAAGCCATCAAGTCTGGGGTGGTCTCAGGAGCCCCTACCCCAAGGATAGTAAGAGTGCTCACTGCACAAGACTAGGGTCAGGATGACACGAGTGATGTGCATAACACAAAGGCCAGTTCATATTAGCTCTGTGGGAAATGGACCTAAGCTTGTAGTAAAAAATTGAGATAATCTGTTTCAAAAAGCCTTGTAAGCAGTAAGGAATTACACACGTAAAAAGTGGTATTGTTACTTTCAAATTGCAGGTGTTTTAAATATACGCCACTGCTAATATTTAGGTTGGTGAAAAAGTAACTGTGGTTTTGGATCCTAACTTTAAATCATTGTAACTATGCTTAAACACATTTTTATTAATCAAAACAGGAATCATAACAACCAACACATTTTTGCCAATGACAATTTACTCATTCCTGTAGCATTAAAAATCCATGTCTTGGGATTCGATGAACTCTTGGAAAGCATTTTGTGCATCCTACTGGTTTATGGAAGCATTCTCCCTGCAGTTGTTGAGATGCTTGAAGAAGTAGTAGTTTCTGGCAAGAGTTCAGGTATATATGGTGGATGAGGCTAAACTTTGTAGCCCAATTTGTTCAACTTTTGAAGCGCTGGTTGTGCAATGTGTGGTTGGGTGTTGTCAGGGAGAAGAATTTGGCCCATTCCGTTGACCAACGCCAGCTGTAGGCAGTTTTGGTGCATCTTGTCAACTTGCCGAGCATACTTCTCAGATGTAATCGTTTCACTAGGATTCATAAGGCTGTAGTGGGTTAGACAGGCAGGAGACCACCAAAAGTGACCATGACCTTTTTATGGCCCAAGTTTGGCTTTGGGAAGGGCTTTGAAGTTTCTTGTCGTCACCAGCCACTGATCTGGTCATTGCCGGTTGTCATATGAAATCCATTTTCTGTCACGTCGTAATCCGATTGAGAAATGGTTTGTTATTGTTGCACAAGTGAAGACTACACTTCAAAACACAATGCTTTTTTTTTTTTTGCATAAGGCACCCACATTATCGAGCTTTACCACCTATCAAATCTGCTTCAAATGCTTAGCAACTGTAGAATGGTTAACACTGAGTTCGTTGGCAACTTCTCACGTAGTTGTAAGAGGATCAGCTCCGATGATGGCTCTCAGTTGGTCACTGTCAACTTCTGATGGCCAGCCAACACACTCCTCATTGTCAAGGCTCTCGTGTCCTTTACAAAACTTCTTGAATGGCTACTGCACTGTATGTGTGTTAGCAGTTCCTGGGTCAAATGCGTCACTGATGTTGCTAGTTGTCTCTGCCGATTTATGACTTATTTTGAACTCAAGTAAGAAAATCGCTCAAATCTGCTTTTTGTCTAACATCATTTCCCTAGTCTAAAATAAACAGCAAGTGATAAATCATTAACAAAAAAAACATGACGTGAGAAACGTGCACTAAAATGATGTAAGATATAAGCTGGGGCTTCCCTGGTGGCTCAGGCAGTAAACAATCTGCCTGCAAAGCAGAGATGTGGGTTCAATCCCTGCGTCAGGAAAACTCCCTGAGAAAGGGAATGGCAACCCACTCTAGTATTCTTCCTGGAGAATCCCATGGACAGAGGAGCCTGGCGGGCTACAGCCCATGGCATGCCGAAGCGTCAAACACAACTGAGTGACTAACACTTGCACTTTCAAAACATAACTTCATTTATTTAAGAATGTATTTCAATATCAAATGGCAAAATTCAACAATGCAAAACCACAATTACCTTTGCACCAACCTAAATAAATAGTATCTGCTTACTGAATACAGACACAGCAAACTCCAAACACCCACAAGGGTTATCAAGTGGAAAGCAGAAACACTGATGGGATTCAGACCACGAAACCTTGCTGGCGTCACCACCGTCTGTTCCCATCTGTGAGGCAGTCCTCACCGCTACCTGACAACTTCTAACTGTAGTTTTAGGAGAGAGAAAAATAATTTGAGGAGAAAACAGAACTTATTTAGGAAGTGACAAAATGACTTATAGGGTGAACACTGTATTTGACATACTTAAAAACAATTTTACTCTAAAGCTATGAGGTTATCCTGTCCTGCTTAATAAAATATTGACCTGCTTCTGAGACTGTGTCCTTAGCTGCTGCAGGGTACAGAGGCCTTGCTGTCCTCCTCAGAGGGTGACGGGAATGGCCATTGCTGAGAGGTGGCGGTGTGCATGCACAGTCACAACTAGGGAGCGCTGGCAGGAGGAGCAGCGAACATCAGAAAACCCACAACCCATGACTCTGACCTAGAGCCGTTCATTCCTGTCTTACTTTTCCAGTATGGCTTTCTCTACCTGCTTAAACTTTTTCAGTTCAACGATTAGTTCCCAGTATCTGAGATACAGCCACATGAGCCTCCCGTTTTGGCGCTTGTTGGTGTTCCAGACGTCACCACAGTGCGTATCGTGCTTAAATATGTCAGTGAGGCCAGCTGCCATCTCGAGGTCTGCGGCCACCGGGTCAGTGGACGCGCGGACCAGCAAGCTCTTCTCGAGCTCAAGTCGCCTGCGACGCGGGAGCACCAGGCTGCAGTAGATGCTCTGTCTCTCGGTGAGTGCGGCCTCGAACTCGCTCAGCAGGAGCCTGGCCCTGCGCTGCCAGTCCTCCTCCTGGCCCAGGCAGCGCAGGTACGCACTGCGCAAGGGCTGCCTCCTCTCCTGCAGGACCTGAGCCCGCTCCTGTTCCAGAAGTTTCTTCTCTTCCACCAACTTGCGCCCCTGAGAGATGAGGGCTTCTCGGTAACTAGTTGTTCTGTTCTGCTCCTTTTCAAGTTCCAGGGACAAGTGTGCCACGGCCCGCCGGCTTTCTGCGATTGTGGCATGGTACCTGGCTTCAAGGTCCTGCTGGAAGGCAGCCGTCCTCTGACGGTATGCTTCTCTCTCCTTTTCTATTTCTTTTCTCGACTCCCGAGACCAAATCCAGCCTGACACAAATAAATTGGGGGAGGAAAACACACATAATGAACATCAGAGCTCAAGTGCTATAATCTCTATTTACAGGAAACATAAAGCAGCTATAGAGCATTTCAATAAATTCTTAAGTCCTGAGATAAACAAAATGATAATAGTTTGTATGAAGCTATGTGGGCTTCCCAGGTGGCTCATCCACCTGCCAATGCAGGAGACGCTTGTTTGATTCCTGGGTCGGGAAGATCCCCTAAAGGAGAAAATGGCAACCCACTGCAGTATTCTTGCAGGGATAACCCCACGGACAGAGGAGCCTAGTGGCCTATAGTTCATGAGTCACAAAGAGTCAGACAAGACTGAAGCAACTAAGCAAGACCCCTTCCAGCCTCCTAACGTTTGAGGGCTGAGAAAACCTACCTCTAGCCTAGCACCACGTGTCTATACTCTGGCCACAGGGCCCCGAAAGACCATTGGCAAGGTTTAAAAATGACTATGGGCGAGTATGCTTCACAGTGTTGGCCAGGTTAGTACAGAACTGAAAAAAGTTCAGAGTGTGTTCAAAGCTGTGCCTGGTCATCACTAGTAAACAGGTAAGCCCAAGATGGCTGCTTATATCCTGCTAGGGGGTCATACAAACAAGAAGTCAGAATGTCAGCCTTGAGACACAGCTCCACCATAACCTCACAAATACAAGACACAAGGTGTGGGCAGCTGGGGTGGGTAATACCCTGCTCTGCTCCACAAACTGACAAGCCACAGTGAGAGAGAGCTGATGGCCACGAAGCCTGCAGCCAGCTGGTGCCTGGTTCTGGGTGCTGTCACCAGACCTCTATCCTATGAGTAAGAGTTTTGGTCTTTTCTGATAACAAGACAACAGACAGTGTGATGATTTCACTGGTATAGGATATGCCCCAAGTTCTAGATTGCTGCTTTTGTTATTGAGTCACTCAGTCATGTCCAACACTTTGTGACCCCATGGACTGAAGCACACCAGGCTTCCCTGTCCTTTACCATCTCTGGAGCTTGCTCAAACTCACATCCACTGAGTCGGTGATGCCATCCAACCATTTCGTCCTCTGTCGTCCCCTTCGCCTCCTACCTTCTATCTTTCCCACCATCGGGGTCTTTTCCAATGAGTCAGCTCTTCGCATCAGATGGCCAAAGGATTGGAGCTTCAGCTTCAGCATCAGTCCTCCAAATGAACTTGAAATCAGGGTTGATTTCCTTAGGATTGACTGGTTTGATCTCCTTGCTGTCCAAGTAACTTTCACAAGGCTTCTCCAACACCACGGTCAAATGCATCAGTTCTTTGGTGCTCAGCCGTTTTTATGATTCAACTCTCACATCCATACACGACTACTGAAAAACAACAGCGTTGACTATAATACGGACCTTTGTCGGCAAAGTAATGTCTCTGCTTTTCAATATGCTATCTAGGTTTGTCGTACTTTTCTTCCAAGGAGCAAGTGGCTTTTAATTTCATGGCTGCAATCACCATATGCAGTGATTTTCAGTTCAGTTCAGTTGCTCAGTTGTGTCGGACTCTTTGTGAGCCCATGGACTGCAGCACACCAGGCTTCCCTTTCCATGACCAACTCCCGGAGTTTACTCAAACACATGTCCATCGAGTCGGTGATGCCATCCAATCATCTCATCCTCTGTTGTCCCCTTCTCCTCCTACCTTCTATCTTTCCCACCATCAGGGTCTTTTCCAATGAATCAGCTCTTAGCAACAGGTCACCAAACTACTGGAGCTTCAGCTTCAGCATCAGTCCTTTCAATAAATATTCAGGACTGGTTTCCTTTAGGATTGACTGGCTGGATCTCCTTGCAGTCCAAGGGCCTCTCAAGAATCTTCTCCAACACCACAGTTCAAAAGCATCAATTCTTCGGTGCTCAGTTTTCTTTATGTAAGTCCAACTCTCACATCCATACATGACTACCGGAAAAACCACAGCTTTGACTGGATGGACTTTTGTTGGCAAAGTAATGTCCCTGTTTTTTAACATGCTGTCTAGGCTGGTCATAGCTTTTCTTCCAAGAAGCAAGTAGCTTTTAATTTCACGACTGCAGTCACTGTCTGCAGTGATTTTGGAGCCAAAAAAAATAAAGTCTCTCACCGTTTCCACACTTTCTCCATCATTTTGCCATGAAGTAATGGGACTGGATGCCATGATCTGAGTTTTCTGAATGTTGAGTTTTAAGCCAGCTTTTCCACTCTCCTCTTTCACTTTCATCAAGAGGCTCTTTAGGTCTTCTTCGCTTTCGGCCATAAGGGTGGTGTCATCTGCATATCTGAGGTTACTGATATTTCCCCTGGCAACCTGATTCCAGCTTATGCTTCATCCAGCCTGGCATTTCCCATGATGTACTCCACATATAAGTTAAGTAAGCAGGGTGACAATATATACAGCCTTGACATACTCCTTTCCCAACTTGGAACCAATCTGTTGTTCCATGTCCGGTTCTAACTGTTGCTTTCCTACCTGCATACAGATTTCTCAGAAGACAGGTCAGGTGGTCTGGTATTCCAATTTCTTGAAGAATTTTCCAGTTTGTTGGGATCTACACAGTCAAAAGCTTTGGCATAATCAATAAAGCAGAAGTAGATGTTTTTCTGGAACTCTTCCTTTTTCAATGATCCAGCAGATGTTGGCAATTTGATCTCTGGCTCCTCTGCCTTTTCTTTTTTTTTTTTTTTTTCCCTCTGCCTTTTCTAAATCCAGCTTGAACATCTGGAAGTTCACGGTTCACATACAGTTGAAGCCTGGCTTGGAGAATTTTGAGTATTACTCTGCTAGCGTGTGAGATGAGTGCAACTTTGTGCTAGTTTGAACATTCTTTGGGATAGGAATGAAAACTGACCTCTTCCAGTCCTGTGGCCACTGCTAAGTTTTCCAAATTCGCTGGTATATTGAGAGCAGCACCTTAATAACATCATCTTTTAGGATTTGAAAGAGTTCAACTGGAATTCCATCACCTCCACTAGCTTTATTCATAGTGATGCTTCCTAAGGCCCACTTGACTTCACATTCCAGTATGTCTGGCTCTAGGTGAGTGATCACACCGTCGTGGTTATCTGGGTCATTAAGATCTTTTTCATATAGTTCTTCTGTATATTCTTTCTACCTCTTCTTAATATCTTCTGCTTCTGTTGAATCCATACCATTTCTATCCTTTATTGGGCCCATCTTTGCATAAAATGTTCCCTTGGTATTTCTGATTTTCTTGAAGAGATCTCTGGCCTTTCCCATTCTATTGTTTTCCTCTGTTTCTTTGCACTGATCACTGAGGAAGGCTTTCTAATCTCTCCTCACTATTCTTTGGAACTCTGCATTCAAATGGGAATATCTTTCTTTTTCTCCTTTGCCTTTAGCTTCTCTACTTTTCTCAGCTATTTGTAAGGCCTCTTCAGACAACCATTTTGCCTTTTTGCATTTCTTTTTCTTGGGGATGGTCTTGATCACTGCCTCCTGTACAATGTCACAAACCTCTATCCATAGTTCTTCAGGCCCTCTATCAGATCTAATCCCTTGAATCTGTTTGTTACTTCCACTGTATAACTGTAAGGGATTTGATTTAGGTTATACCTGAATGGTCTAGTGGTTTTCCCTACTTTCTTCAATTTAAGTCTAAATTTGGCAATAAGGAGAGTTCATGATCTGAGCCCAGTCAGCTCCCAGTCTTGTTTTTGCTGACTGGATAGAGCTTCCCCATCTTTGGCAGCAATAAATATAATCATTCTGATTTCAGTGTCGACCATCTGGTCCATGTGTACACAGTCTTCTCTTGTGTTGTTGAAAGAGGGTGTTTGCCATGACTAGTACGTTCTCTTGGCAAAACTGTTAGCCTTTGCTCTACTTCATTTTGTACTCCAAAGCCAAATTTGCCTGTTACTCCAGGTATCTTTTTGACTTCCTACTTCTGCATTCCAGTCCCCTATACTGAAGAGGACATCTTTTTAGGGTGTTAGTTCTAGAAGGTCTTGTAGGTCTTCATAAAACCGTTCAACTTCAGCTCCTTCAGCATCACTGGTCAGGACATAGACTTGTATTACTGTGATACTGAATGGTTTGCCTTGGAAACAAACAGAGATCATTCTGTCATTTTTGAGACTGCACCCAAGAACTGCATTTCAGACTCTTCTGTTGACTATGATGGCTACTCCATTTCTTCTAAGGGATTCCTGCCCACAGTAGTAGATATAAGGGTCATCTGAGTTGCTATTTAGAAACTCACTAGTCTGCCCTCTTGTAAAACCTTACTTAACACTCAGAAAGGCTGCCTGCTGCCTGTAGTTAGAGCAGTGAATTTGGTGAGTGAAGTGGAAGGCTTAAAATTACAGCTACTATGTAGTTAGTTTTTTTTATTAGTTTTTTAATTTCTTTTTTAACTGAAGGATAATTGCTTTACAATTAATTCATTTTGAGGCTGGGAAAGGCCCTATGGTGACTTTCATTTTCCATTTGTTTTTTCAGACTCTTCTCTAGCTTTTATAGCTTTTTATAATAATCCTTACTTTCAAAGTTCCTGCTTTCTGTCCCTGAGAAGGGTTGAGGAATATCATATTTCCTTCTTTTTGGTTATCTTGCTTAGGTAATGCAATCAGAGAAAAATTTTAATTCTGCATTCTTATAATTATTCTCCAAAAAAGTATTATTACAAGATTAAGAAATTATATCAAACAGATGGGTGTTAAGTGGCCTGAGCATAGTCTAAAGGTAAAGGCAGACAAAGGAAGTTGATAAATGCTACTCTTGTCTGTCAGGAAGCATTTAACAAGAGGCTTCCCGTGCGCTGTCTTGGATCTGTCAGGAACCCTCTGGCCCTTATAGATTCCTGAATATTCAGGAATTAAGAGGAGAGGCATGCCTTTCCCGGGGCTGAGGAATCCAGGCATTTCTCATTACAGTGGTAAGTATCCTCTTCCTTTTTATGAGCCAAATGGTAAGGGGTGATTGTTAGCAACTCTCTCTTTGATAGGGATCATCTTATGTTTTGTAAGTCTGGAATTTTA